TTTCTCTGTACTCTTTAGGCAAATAGCCAAGCTCAGAGAGCACCAAGAATTCCACAAAATCCATAATTCTCAGACAGCAGAACCATTGAACGTATTGAGAGGATACGAATTGTTTTTATGGCTGCAGAGTATAGTAGTTTAAACTCTCCCTGGGTGTCTTCGTCCCATGATTGTTCTGTTTGCATTCTTAAAATGCTCTCTAGTTAATGCCAAAATGCATTTAGCATCACACTAAATGTGTGACCTTTCCAATAAATTAGTACCCCAAATGCCTTTTTTGCCACTTGAAAAATGTAAATTTGAAAAGAAAATTTCAATTTGAGCCAACAGGCAATAGCGGTGTCTGTGTCACCGATCCTCAGAATGATATACAGGGCAGCGAGTTCAACAGTCTCGGACAAGATAAGTTGCAGATATGTGTGAAAATTCCAGGAAGTGCTTTTCTTCTGTGAAGTTTCAGTCAAAACACTTAAAAGCACTTCCAAAACTTCAGGGTTGTGAGGCCACACTCCTTTGGCAAACGGCATGGCTGGGCCTGCTCTGGAAAGCCAGAAGATCTCTTCACTGAGGTAAAATAGTCAACTGAGGTAGCGAGACGGATGCGCTGAATCAAAATTCAGCCATTCTGAAATGGCGGTTGGAAGGCAAACTGTTGCCACCCAATTCAAATCTGCATTATGAAGTAAAGTATAGAAATAACAACAGAGTTATATACTACTTCACAGTACTTTACAGCCCTCTCTAAGCGGTTTACAGAGTCAGCACATTGCCCCCTACAATCTGGGTCCTCATTTTAGCGACCTAAAGGCTGAGTCAACCTTGAGCCAGTCAGGATCGAACTCCTGGCAGTGGGCAGAGTTAGCCTGCAATGCTGAATTCTAACCACTGCGCCAGCACAGCTCTGAGTGAATTTCTCCATGACTTCCTTAAGAGAACAATGGCGGTGGCAGCTATTCTGAGGGGGAAAAGTAATTTCATAAATATACAGGTAGTCCTTGACTTATGACCAGCCGTTAAGTGACTGTTTGAAGTTCTGACAGACCTACCTAGAGATTACTTACAATCCAAATTTGAAATCTTGACAATTGCCCCCACCCCTCATGGTCTTATGACTGCAATTCAGTTGCTTGGCAACTGGACCGCATTTACTGGCCATTTGCAGTTAACAACCACCTGCAGAAAAAGGTCCTTAAATAGAATTGGTTACATGACGACTTGCTTTATGACCAACATGACTTGCAACTATAATGGGCAGGCTCCATTACGGTCATAACTCAAGGACTCCCTGTATCTCGTTGGGTTAATACCCTTGTGTTTGTGATTATCATTCTCAGACTCAGGCAAAAGGCTGAAAAAGGTGTTCTGCATCAGGCAGGTTGAAAAATATCTGCAAAATAAACATTTTTGGGTTTTTCCCCACATTTTGAGAGGTGAGTTAAAATAAATTGTTTGTGGTTTATCATGCTTTGGGAAGTCAACTATAGATTCTGTCAGTGGTGGGATTCAAATACCAGAACAACCAGTTCTCATATTTGATGCAGGCCTGGGCCTCCGAGACCTAGAACAGACTTCCGGAAGTGGCATCATGCACTTCCGGTAGGCTGTTCTAGGCCTGGGAGGCCTCCTCCAGGCCTCCGAAGCTTAGAACACACTTCCGGAAGTGGCATCCATACACTTCCGGTAGGCTGTTCTAGGCCTGGGAGGCCTCCTCCAGGCCTCCGAAGCTTAGAACAGACTTCTTGAAGTGGAATCCATACTCTTCTGGTGGGCTGTTCTAGGCCTGGGAGGCCTCCTCCTGGCCTCCGAAGCTTAGAACAGACTTCCGGAAGTGGCATCCATACACTTCCAGTAGGCTGTTCTAGGCCTGGGAGGCCTCCTCCAGACCTCCGAAGCTTAGAACAGACTTCCGGAAGTGGCATCCATACACTTCCAGTAGGCTGTTCTAGGCCTGGGAGGCCTCCTCCAGGCCTCCGAGGCCTAGACTGGACTTCTGGAAGCCAGCCAGTTCTCCGAATTCAGGTAAATTTAGCTACCAGTTCTCCTGAACTGGTGTGAACCAGCTGAATCCCACCACTGGATTCTGTACTTTGCGTGATCCAGGTCGTTACATGATGCTAGAGTACGGTTTAATGCAGGGATGGGCAACTATGGCCCATTTACGACCTTTGGGCTGCAACTCCCAGAATTCCTGAGCCAGCCATAGTAGGCCACCCCTGGTTTATTAGTTTGACTATAGTATATTATGTGGTCACATCTTTTGGCTTTGATTTTCCCATTTGCAGAATTTACCATTTTGTGGGAATTCAGCCACTGTGTCATGATGTCCAGTGGTACCTCTGCCAAGAAAAAGCATAATAAAGTACTGTAATAAAACTGCCGAGCCATAAACCACGATTAAAAGCCAAGCTGGCTGAGTGCATACCATGCCCTGCTTCTGAAGAGGCAGGGTAAAAAAAATGGGGATTGTAGCCACATGACTTGATCCCCACCTTTTTTTTTACATGCATTATTCATAGCAGGCAATGAAGAGACAGAGCTTCAAAAATGGCATAGCCACCATCTTGACCGACCCCCTCCCCCAATGCATGACCCTACAAAGCAAAGCCAACATGTATTTTATCCTATTGCATTAAACCAGACCTTTCCTAGTTACTTCTATGGGGCTGTTTCTGATTCTCATTGCTTGTGGCTAGCTATTATTTTAGCAGAAAGGAAAATGTACAGTGATGGAAATCTAGTTTTTACCAGTTCAGTGGTGTTATAACACCACTTTATAGCTTTTTCTGTTAGAAAAATGGCAAAACCAAGAGAATTTGCACATAGAAAACTACCATATCAAATGAAACCAATTATAGCATAATTTTCACCTAGATAACCTAATTGATTTCATTCCAGGGATCTCTCCCTCTCCTCTCCCTCTCTCTCTCCCCCTCTCCCTCTCCCCCCCTCTCTCACACACACATACAAAACTGGGACCAGAATTTCCGTTGTTAAGACAGCCAGTTGTTAAATGAGAAATGCCCAATTTTGAGACCTCCTTTTGCCATAGTTGTTAAGAAAATCACTGCAGTTGTAAATGACTAATGCAATCATTAAGCAAATTCAGCTTCCCCCATTGATTGTGCTTGTTGGAAAGAGGCTGGGAAGATCACAAATGGTGATGACAGAGACCAGCAAGGCTGCAACTATTGTAAATATTATCTATCTCAAAGCCATTTTGGAACTACCAAAAAATCTTGTCATCTCACTGGAATTTATAAAGCAAAATGTTGCAGTTCCCATGATACAGGATTGTGTCCACAATGACAGATCAATTTCTGTCGGTTTCACACATGCAGGCTTGTTTGGTTTCCGCAGCAAAGACTTGGTTCTAATTTTTCATATATCAGGATTATTAAAAGCTAACATTTGTAGTCCAAACTTGCTCAGTCTTCTCAATAAACATTCCAGACCAAAGTATAGGTGGAGTTTTATCTTAAGAATCCTTGATTTAAAGCAATTTCTGCAAATTCTAGTGTAAATGAACTGACTGCCTGTGAATCAATCTTTAATTGCCCAAAGTCTTTTGCTATTTACACACTCGGTCTGACAAAATTCCTAGCTCCAACAATAGATCAAAGTACATTTTAAAATGTATATTTTAGGGAGAAGGAAATTAATTTAGAAATATATTTACTTTTCTTTGGTAAGGCATTTTTTTTTATTATGCCTTTCCCTTTGGAAGTTCAAAGGCAGGATAAAGAGGGTTTTTCACTTATTTCAACACATACCCGTACACACCAGCAATCTAGCCGGGTAGCTGAGTTGGAAGAGAGAGACTGGCCTGTGTCATCTTAGTAACCTCCATCATTGACTTGAACCTGGCCTTCAATGAATCAAAGCAAACACACCTTTAAATGCTGCACTATAAAACGGGACATTTTAATTCAGATTGAAAGAAAAACTCAAAACCACAGTCTTAATGCAACTGACTACTTGATTGATCCACTTGTCTGCAGGGTACGAGATAAAATTTTGCTTTTTGGGAGATGGCTGCATAAAATAGTGGAGTGTTGTATCTAGCTCAAGGTTGAACTGTTGGGTTCTTGATGTTCTCTGAGCTTGACTTTTTTTTCTGCAGATGTTCATATACCAGGCTAAGTAATATCATCAGCGCATGGGTGCATAGTTCAACTAGTTCAAAATGCAGTGGTTTTGTGTAGGCCTAGGTGTGCATGTGTGTTATCTCTCCTGTAGGAACTGCATTGACTGCTGATTTGCTTCAGGATCCAATTCAAAGTGCTGGTTGTCACCTTTAAAACCCTACATGGCTTGGGACCAGGTTATTTGAAGGACTGTCTCCTCCTGGTTATGTCTACCTGAGCTATCAGAGCAGGGAGGCAAGGAATGCTAAGGGTCCCCTCTTCTAAAGGAGCTATATCTGGAGGGACCCAGAAGAAGGGTCTTCTCTGTGGTGGCTCCCTCCCTGTGGAATTATCATCCCTGCAGAAATAAGATTGGCTTCCACTTTGACACTCTTTGGCAAGACCCTGAAGATCTGGTTTTGCCAACCGGCCTGGGAAACCCAGAATGGGATGGAACCCATCAAGTGGCTTATTCAATTGATTGTTGTCACTAAAGGGGTAGAGGAATTATTGCTTTCTATCATTTTATATTAGGTTTTTATCTTCATAGGTCGCCCAGAGTCACCGCAAGTGAGTTGGGTGGCCATATACATTTTCATAAATAAATAAAGAGTTCCAGTCTTGTTAGGAGTGTGGCTTCCTTGAATATTCCTTGATTGGGGTATTATTTTTCTGATGCTATTTCATGCTTACTGTATCTGTGTGTTGGCTGCTAGGGAGGTTTTTTTTTTTTTTTACTTTTGGTTGTACCTTTTTAAAAATTGTATGTAGATGGGTTTTAGCCATAGCAATAGCATTTTAGACTTACATACCACCTCCGAGTGCTTAGAGTAGGAGTCCCCAACCCCCGGTCTATGGACCGGTACCGGGCCGCAGCATGCCAGCAACCGGTCTGCACAAACAAGCAAAGTCCCATCTGCGGGATGCAGGCAGCACACAAAACCACACCCGGTCCGGTCCACAGAAAAACCTCTCTCCACGGAACTGGTGCCCAAAAGATTGGGGACCTCTGGCTTAAGCACTCTTTGGGTATTTTACAATGTAGAAGTATTTTTTGCATATGGCTCCAACAGTCTAGGTCCTCATTTTACAGACCTTGGAAGGATGGAAGGCTGAATCAACCTTAAGCCACATCAAGATCGAACGCCAGGCTACGGGCAAAATTTGCCCGCAGTACTGCACTTTAACCACTTTGCCACCAGGGTTTAACTTGCGTATCCATTTTTCTTTTTCTTTGTGTGCTTGGACATACGTGTCTCTCTTTCTTCCCAGGAGATCCAGCCGCAGAAGAGTGGTCTCAATGGAGTGTCTGCTCCCTGACCTGTGGGCAAGGCACCCAGGTGCGAACTCGCTCCTGTGTCTCCTCACCCTACGGGACTCTGTGTAGTGGCTTGCTGCGGGAGACCAGGATGTGCAACAACACCGCCACATGCCCAGGTAGGTGAAGGGAAAACAGAGAGTGGATCTCCTTACTTCTTCTTGCTTTCTTGCGGTTTCTTTCCTTCATTGTCTTGGGTCACTTCCCCCCGAGTTGTCGGTTGACCATGATTACAGGCAGTTTTTGACTTTATAACCATTCCTTTAATGACTGTTCAAAGTTACAACAGCACAGGAAAAAAATGGACCTATGACCTGTCCTCACTCTTATGACTGCTGAAGCAGCCCCAGAGTCACAGGATCAAAATTCAGGCCCTTGGCAACCGGCATAAATGTTCAATGGTTGCAGCAGCATCCCAGAGTCACATCTTCCCCATTTGCAATCGTTGCTTGCCAGCCTGATAAGCCAAGTCAATGGGGGAATCTGGATTTGTTTAATGACTGTGTGATTAGTGAACCACTGCAGTGGTTTGCTTAACAATTGGGGCAAACAAGACCTTAAAAATTAGGCATGACTCACTCAAATAATTGCCTTTCTTAACAATGGAAAATCTAGTCCCGGTCATGGTTTAAAGTCAAGGACTACCTGTGTTAGGGTAGAGTAAGGACTCATGACTCCTGGTCAAGGAGCAGGGGGCAGTTGGGGCTAGGACAGGGGTAGCAAGCTTGGCTCTTTTATGACTTGTGGACTTCAACTCCCAGAATTCCTGAGCCAGCTTGGCTCAGCTTGGAAAACTCTCCCTTTCCCCTCAGCATGGCTGGCTCAGGAATTCTGGGAGTTGAAGTCCACAAGTCATAAAAGAGCCAAGGTTGCCTAGCCCTGGGCTAGGAGATCCCTTGCTCAACTTCACCTTGTGCACCCATTATGTCCTCTCCTGGATTGAGAAGCCCTTCTTTCAATCACTCGTACCCTTATTGTCTCCCATGTGGACTATCGCAATTCAGTCATGGGGCTATTCTTGAAGAGTATCCAGAAGTTGAAGCTGGTGCAGAATGTGACTGCATAGACAATCTTGGGTGTTCCTAGGTTTGTGCATGTAACTCCTCTGATATACAAGTTGCATTGAGTGCTAGTTTGCTTCCAGGTTACCAATTCAAAGTATCAGTTAAGTGTCAGTTAAAAAAGATGCTGAGACTCTAGAAAGCGTACAGAGAAGAGCAACAAAGATGATTAGGGGACTGGAGGCTAAAACATATAAGGAATGGCTGCTGGAATTGGGTATGTCTAGTCTAATGAAGAGAAGGATGAGGGGGGACATGATAGCAGTCTTCCAATATCTCAGGGGCTGCCCCAAAGAAGAAGGAGTCAAGCTATTCTCCAAAGTGCCTGAAGGCAGGACAAGAAGCAACGGATGGAAACTAATCAAAGAGAAGCAACCTGGAACTAAGGAGAAACTTCCTGACAGTTAGAACAATTAACCAGTGGAACAACCTCCCTCCAGAAGCGGTGAATGCTCCAACACTAGAAGTTTTTAAGAAGAGACTGGACAGCCATTTGTCCGAAATGGTGTAGGGTTCCTCCCTGAGCAGGGGGTTGGACTCGATGACCTCCAAGGTCCCAACGTTGTTGTTGTTGTTGTTGTTGTTGTTGTTGTTATTATTATTATTATTATTATTATTATTATTATTATTATTATTATTATTATTATTATTATTATTATTACTATTATTATCACCTTTAAAGCCCTTCGTGGCATAGGACCAGATTACTTGAGGAACCATCTTGTCTCAATTACATTGACCTGTCCCACTTGGTCAGGCAGGTAGGATATGTTATGGATCCTGCTGATTAAAGAATTTCAACTTGTGGGATCCAGGAAGAGAGTCTTCTCTGACATTTCCCCTATCCTACCTTAGCCGTAAAGGTAAAGTGAAGCAGGGCCCCATTCTGCTGACCTTCATAAAGAGCGTTAAGTCCAATTGGCCTGGGGGCTGAAGAGTGATATGCAACTTTGTGGATGGTTTATGACTTCAGAAGGTGTCTCCACCTTTTTAAATACCTCTTTACCTTTTAATATTTTAACCCTAACCTTTAAAATTCTGTTTTGTTAACTTTTATATGATGATACCTTTTTTATTACAAATTGCCCAGAGTCACCTAGACAAGATGGGCGGGTATAGAAACGTGATGAATAAAGAAATAAAATAAGTCCTACTCAAATGTTTGTATGAAGTCCTCTCGAAGCAGGAGATTGTCCATAAAACCCATGGCTTGCTTCCCATTTTGATGTAGCTTTGTGCTGGCTTTGGACTAGCCCCAGAAACTGCCCTACCATAATTCACTCCTCCACTTAGCCTGTCCTTTGTCTTCCCCCTTCCTCCGCTAGTTCAGACCTTGTTCACAAATGGAAGGAAGTCAATAGGTCTGATTACAGGCCATGACCTGTGCTTACTATGGAGAATTAATGAAATAGTAAGCCCAAGGACTCTTTAACGGTAAGCATGTTTCTAATCGGTGCTATTTCGTTAAGGAGTTTTCCACTCTTCGTCTTCTAAGTTCAGAGCCTGCTGGGTGACAGGCAAGAATTGACCCCATCTCATTCTCTTTCACCTCCCACTCCTCCAGAACTCTTGATGTTTATTGCATTTTTAACTTAAAGCAAACTTGCTTTGCTGTCTGTTTGGATAAGATGCTGGTCCTCTAAATTCCCATCTTGTTTTGTCCATCTGGGCTCCACAGCAAGTGCCAACTAATTTCTGCCTTGTGATCTCTCTTGCTAGGCTGGGCTTTTTTCAAAGGTTTTTTTTAATAAAAGATAAATGAGAAAATTGGACCGTTCCAAAAACAAGTGCCAAACTCCAGCACCGCCTTTGTTTCCAAGAATGTTCTGAGCCACATCAGCCCCTCAGACAATGTAAATGGCGCTTGAATGAATGAACGGATATTTTTTTTTAATTACAGGCACTGTCCCGAATTGCATACAAAAATGCGTTAAAAAACTAAATAAAAACAAAACAATACGAAGTGTTACAACTGGTGTTGAATGCATCGGTGGATAATCAAAGCCTGCCTAATTTTATAGGCTGTATAACAAACTTAGATACATTCAAGGGAACGGAATCATACCGATCTGATCACAGCAAATGTATATAAAAAAGATCAGAATTTCCCAGTTTTCCCAGGTAAGGACTTGCAAGGTGAGCCCTGGAGTCTTTACATAGATAGTCTTTAATGTATGACCAGAATTTCCATTATTAAGCAAGGCAGTTGTTAAGTGAGACATGCCCACTTTTACAACTGGTGCTTTGTTTAAAACATTCTCCATCTACCTGAAAAAAAAATCAGAATAGAGCTGGGAGGGACCTTGGAGGTCTTCTAGTCCAACACCCTGCTCAAGTAGGAGACCCTATACTAGGGGTAGTCAACCTTGGCTCTTTTATGACTCGTGGACTTCAACTCCCAGAATTCCTGAGCCTGGGAGTTGAAGTCCACGAGTCATAAAAGAGCCAAGGTTGACTACCCCTGCCCTATACCATCTCAGACAGGTGATTGTCTAGTCTCTTCTTAAAAGCCTCCAGCGACGAAGCACCTACAACTTCCGAAGGCAAGCCGTTCTACAGGTTAATTGTCCAGACTGTGACGAACTTTCTCCTTAGTTCCAGGTTGCTTCTCTCCTTGATTAGAGATAGTGGATTGGAAGAATTCTGGGAAGCTAAAAAAAAAGGTCACAGGGAGCAATCTTCCCAGTTTCCTTTCTGGGAAATGAGTGGTTTGTGATTGACTACACAGAGGCAGTTCTTGACTGACAACCGTTTGTTTAATGACCGTTCCAAGTTACAGGAGCACTGAAAATAGTAACCGTCAACCGGTCCTTGCCTTTAACAACCACTGCAGTATCCCCATGGCTACGTGATCAGAATGCAGCCAACATAATACAGGTAGTCCTCAATTTACAACAGTGCATTTAGTGACCATTCAAAGTTACAACTTATGACCGTTTTTCACGACCATGTAGCATCCCCACGGTCACGTGATCAAAATTCAGACGCTTGCCAACTGGCATGTATTTACAACAGTTGCAGCATCCCAGATTCGTGTGATTGTCATTTGGGACCTTCCCAGCTGGCTTCTGATAAATGGCCATATGATTTACTTAACAACCCGAAATAATTAACAATTTGTTTCACAACTATGGCAAAAAAGGGGGATAAAATTGGGTGCAACTCACTTAACATGCTTAGCAGCACAAAACCTGGCTGTAAGGCGAGGACTTGTGTGTACTGAAATAATCTGCTCTCCACAGATTGGGCTTCTAGTCTTAAAAGCCCAGGGACATTGAGACAGAAGATCAAGGACACATTCCTTCCATTGAGATAAGATGAAATTTCTACCCCACATACCTTGTGCAATATTTATTGCTCATTAATTGATAAGTGAGAACTTTAGGTGCACTGTTGACCTTCAGTAATAGAGTTGTACCAGACTTCATTCTCCATCCAACCTCTTTTTTATCTTGCCCGTTGAGCTTTAATTCAATTCTTCTCCTGTAGCTATCGCCACCGAGGCACGCCTGAAATTTTCTGTCGCTATTGTTTTGCCAGAGATTTCATTAGGAATTCTTCGTGTCACCATTCCCAGCGGAGAAGCCTTCTGAAAGCTGGGAACAGAAGTTCTCAAAGCCACTTTCTTCCTATTGCTTCGCTCACCTCTACATTCTCCCCCCCCCACGCACACCCTGTCTTGTTTTTTGTCAATTGAAATCAGTGGTGCAGTAAACGAGAGTGTGAGCAGACGCCTCCAATACACGGAGAACACCGCGGCTGACATTTCAACAGATTAGTTACCCTCAAAAGGAAAATACTAAACCAAAAGGGAAGCAGGGAAAAGGCCTCTGCGCAAAACAAAAACACGGCAGCTTTGCCTGCACAACACGCCAGAATCCATGGCTTTTCACCTTTGCTAGGACTGTGGTTCTGTTGTCGTTGTTGTTTGAGTTGACTAGGATGTTGCATCAAGCAGCCTCTCTTGGAAGAGTTCGTGATTAAATGCAGTGGGCAAAATCAACCGAAGGGTTTGGTTGACCAGCCAGGTGAAGTGGGCTGAGTTCCCACAGTATTTT